ACCTCACAGTAAAGGTATGGAAAAAAGATTTTCCAAGTAAATGGACCTAAGAAACAAGCTGGTGCAGCCATTCTAATACCTAACAAAATAGACTAAAACCAAAAATAAACAAAAAAGATGGAGGACATTTTACACTCATCACAAGAAAAATCCACCAAGATGATCTTTCAATTCTTAACATCTATACCCCAAATGCAAGGGCACCCACATTTGTATAAGAAACATTATTAAAGCTTAAATCACACATTGGCCCTCACACATTGATAGTGGGAGACTTCAATACCTCACTCTCACCATTGGGCCGGTCATTCAGCCAAAAACTAAACAGAAATGCTGGAACTAACTGATGCTATAAATGATTCTTGATTTATTCAGTATTAAAATGTGAAAGTAAAAGTATATTGTTCATGTGGAAAACACAGGAAATATATTTAAACAACTTAACAAATCAAAAAATCCTAAGTCTTCTTAAAATGTCAGAAACTCAAACACAGACTATGATGGTTTGAATGAGAAAAAGCACTATAGTCTCATATGTTTGTACACTTGGTCACCAGTTTATTGGAGCTGTTTGGGAAAGATTAGGTGTAGATGTAATAGTCTTATTAAATAAGAAACACAGCCAAATGCAGAGTTAAAAGCCCAAGAGGTCAGAGCAGTAGCTAAGAGCTGAGACTTAAAACCGCCTTCTTACCCTTCCTACTGCTGCCGTCCTTCACCTCAGAAAAGAGGCCTACTTCCTGTGGGTCTGTCTTTTATTGACTTTCTGTTCTGCCTTCTTATTGGTTGTAAACCCAACCACATGACCTCCTCATTACTGCCTGTCTGTACAGACCTCTAGGTCTCTATGGCTGGTATTGAGATTAAAGGCATGTGTCTCCATGCTGGCTGTATCCTTGAACATACAGAGATCTGCCTGTCATGTGATCAAGATTAAAGGTGTGCGCCACCACCGCCCAGCTTCTGCTATGGCTTGCTATTAGTTCTGACCCCCAGGCAACTTTATTTATTAATATACAAATAAAATCATATTTCAGTACAAATAAAATATCACCATAATTAAGAAGCATGGTCTTGTGGGAAGAGGTGTGTTTCTAGGGGTGGGCTTTGAGGTTTTAAAGGATCTGTGCAGTTCCGAGGTCCACTTCCATCCTACTAGAGGATCAAGGTGGGAGCTCTCAGCTGTTCCTGCTGCCATGCCTTTGTTCCACCATCATGGACTCTAACCTTCTGAAACCATAAGTCCCAATTAAACACTTTCTTTTATAAGTTGCCTTGGCAATGGTGTTTAATCACAGCAATAGAAAATTAATTAAGAGACAGATAGAAGACAAAAAAAATGACTGCCAGATTGATAACAATGAATTTAGATGTTTCTATTACTATTAATTAAGGAAACTGTGGGCAAAGCTTATAAATAGTTGACAAAGAAAGAGGTATTTGCAATGCCTGAAACTGAATTAATTAATGAATTAATCAGATACAAAGGGTTACTATGAAAAAGAAAAATGAGCCCATTTGAAAAATAATAGAGTACGTGAGCAATTTATAGTAAAGATAGAAGAAAAACTTGTATTCATATGCTAAGACTGATCTCTAGTCACTTGACAAAATCAAAAGCAAGGTGGTATTTTCCATGTTGGGGCAACCACCCATAAGAGAGCTTAATGTATATTAAAAGATTTTAATATGTATTATATTATAATTATGTAAATATATGAGAGAGCTTAATATATATTAAGAGGCATTAATGTATATTAAAATAACTTAATAATGCAATGTTGGGAGGAATATGGGACCATGACCTTTATTCGATTTGTTCACACTTTCAAGACTTAATCACTTTTCTGCTATTACACACATACACAAATATTTGCATATGAGAAATTAGAGATCAAGCACAAAGAAGGAAGTATATTTGCAATGAAAATAATTATTTGAATATATAAAATTAAAAAGAAAAGATAGAAAAACAATTGAATCAAAAATGGTCTTTGGAACTACTAGACAGTTCCCAGAAAGTGAATGGCTAATGAAAACATGCAAAAGCACTCAACCTCATCGATAATCAGAGATACAAAATTAAACCATAATGAATATCAAAAATACAAAAAATAAAAATGCAAACATCCATAGTCCTGCCACAGCTGGGATCTGTATTGATGGCCGTGATCCATGTTGCCACCAAAGACCACACAGATGCCCAGGGTCTGGGCTGCAGCCTGTGGCCATGAGGGTGTCCAAGGGCCATGCTGCTGTTGGGGTCATACTGATCTGGGTGGCTGGTGCTGCCACCTGGGGCAATGGAGACCTCCAGGCCTAGGCCGCTGCCTAGGGCCATGTCTGGGTCCGTGACCCAACAACAACTGGGGTCTGGGATGATGTCTATGGCTCCCGTTACCATTGAGGACTCTGCAGATGTCCAGGGCCTGGTCAGCCATCTGAGACTGTGCTGCTGTGTGGACCATACTGATCTGGGTGGCCTGTGCTGCCACTGGGGGCCATGGTGACACCTGGGTCGGAGTTGCTGGCAAGGGCCACGTCTGGGTCCGTGGTCCTACTGCAGCTGTGGTCTGTGATAATGTCCGTGGCCTGTGTTAGCACAAGGGGTCATTGGAACTATGCTGTGCTGAGGCAGCCCCGCCCTTCACTGGCCCTGGGATAGCTGGCCTTGAGCCCTTGCTGGATAGCGGGCTCCGCCCCTCAGGTTAGAGCTGCACCTCTCCCAAACTCCACAAAGATGGTTCTACCCTTCAACTCAGGTGTGCACCTCACCTGGGCAGCACACTAGAGATGACCCTGTGGTCAGGGACACAGGTGAGCAGACCCTGAGGGCTTGAGAGCAGGAGAGCTGATGCCAACCCTCCAGATTCCCCTTTCAGCAACCAGGAGGGAGGGCCTTGCACCTAGCCTGGGCTAAACAGTAGAGCTGGCTCTGGTGGTGTGTGGGTGGGTGATTCAGATCTGAGGACCTGAGTGCAGAAGAACTGGCCCCACTCCTTGCTTGTAGATGGAGCTATGAGCTAGCCTGGCCAGTGCTGGAGAGCTTGCCTGGGTAGTGACAATGAAGGAAAGCTGACAGGATGACCAACCTAGCTACCACCCAGGCCCAGAACCAGGGCTATGAGTTAGCTCAACTGAACATCCACTCCGTCTATGAACTGTTGGAGCATAAGAAGGAGACAAACTTACAGATCCAAAACAGCAGGATCTCCATGACACAGGTCAACAGGATATCCAAAAGGAGTTCCACTGAGAGCCCGTTTTGGTGGTGTAGTGGAAGCCTGAGGCCTCGAGCCAGATCAAGGAGCACTTGCAAGTAAAGATGAATGGACTAAAGGGTAAATTGTGTGAGTCAACTGGCCACACTGAAGCTTCCACAAGATTCTTCCCCTTTTATTTTTTTTGTCTGTTTTTGTTTTGTTTTGTGTCTCTTTTTTCTTTGTTTTGTTTTGGTTGTTCTTTTAAATTTGGTTTTGTTTTGGGGGGATATTTCATGGGCTGAGGGCAGATGCGAGGAGACAGTGAGATAAGTGGGATCAGAATGCACGATGTGAAATCCACAAAGAATTAAAGTTAAAAAAATTTAAATAAATGCAAACATCAATGTTGGCAAGAGTGACAAAAAGCACTCATATTTTTCTTGATGAAGCAGGAATTAGTGTAGCTTTGAAAGATGTAGTAGTATTACTTTAAAATCCCACATGTGCAAAACCTGCACTTTGCACAGGGGTCATTCCTCTTCCACCACACATGCATTAGTAGACCTATTCTAAAGGTTTAAAATCATTTATGTGTGTGTCTGTGTACATGTACACAAGTGTGCACCAGGGTGCCAGAAGAGCACATCAGACTCCCTGCAGCTGGATGTACAGGCAGTTGTGAGCTGCCCAAAGTGAGTGCTGAGAATTGAGCTCTGGTTCTCTGAAACAGCAAGTGCTTTTAACTGCTGAGCCACCTCTCAAGTGCTAACATATTCTAGAATGTTCATAACAGTATTATTGTTAATAAGAGACAAAATATAAACAATGCAAATGATCACCAATAGTACATAGGATAAAGAATGTAGGTTTATAAATCAATGTACATCTCCATATTGGAATATTGTCTAATCACGGTAGAAACTTCAAATACATGACATTAGTATTGCCTAGTTCCCACAACATAAAGAAATAAGCAAGTAACAGAAAAATATAACATTAAACAAGATAAATTGAGCAGTAATGTAGTTTGGAAATGCATACATGACAGCAGAAGATTTATTGTAACGAAAGTCATTGCAGGGTTTACTTCCAGGACAAAGTTTGTAAGGCAATGTTAAGGGAATATTTTAGGCATTAATATCATCCTGTTTCTTAACTGGGTCATAAAAAACACAGATACTTTCCCCTCCATTGTTAGCATGTATTCGATACTCATATCCATATACTCTTCCTATACATATATTCTTCATATACACATAGTTAACATATTTTGCAGTAAAAATAACTTTAACATGGACTTTAACTGGACAGCCTTTTAGCTTCTTTTTATTTTTCATGATCTATGGCCAGCATCCTCTTTACTGTAGGTCTGTTATTGAGAGTTCCATCTGAGCAACAGGCATAGAGTCACACAGTGGTGAACTGGACAGGAAATCCTGAGGGGAAATAGGGACACACTGACAGAGAATCACAGAACAGTTGACTAAGAAGGTGATCTCGGGAGGCAACTGTGATTTTACTTGAGAGATCTCGGGTTCCAGCCCTGTTTTTGCCTTTGTGTTGGGCGCTAATTCCCTATTTCATATATTGGTTTTGTAAACTGTATTATAAAATTCAAACTCAAGGAAGATTACTAATTATAGTATATGTGGAGAAACTGAGGCCACAGGCTGACGCCACTTCCCCGTGATGCGATCACCACTTTGGAACCCAAGACTCCCAGACCTGAGCAGAGGCCCCATAGCACAACTGTTCCTTTTCCTACCGGTTAGCGCTCACAGCTTGACGTCACAGAAGAGCCACTCCGCCCCGTCAGAAGCCCCGCCCCCATCGGTCTCCGAGCCCCGCCCTCTGCATCTCACTCTGTCATGCCCCGCCCCGGCGCGTCTCTTCCGGCTCCGCCCCTCCGGGCTGCCATGACAACGAGTCCGCGCCCCGCGCTCAGCTGCTGCTCGGGCGGGACCCAGGCTGGACCGCGGGCCCCGGCCTGGGGGCCACAGCTGTCACCGCCGCCGCCACTTCATCTCCTCCCTGTCCCCGTCCCGCCCCGCGTCTTCCCGCCGCACTCGGGCCGGAGGCCGGGGGTCCCTCCCCGCCGCACCACCCTGCGCGGATGCCGAAGGTGAAGGCGCTGCAATGCGCCCTGGCGCTGGAGATCCGCTCTGTGAGTACTGGCCCTGTCCCACCCCGGCCTCTGCGTCCGCCGCCTGTCCCCGGCCCTGGGGACCCCTGGAAATGTCGAGTGCCCGCCCACTCCAGCCTCGCGGGGACCTCACCCCAACTTCCCGCTGGAGTACTTTCGAATTTCTTCCACAACACTTCAGAGTTGCACTCTCAAGGCACTAGTTCCCTTCGAATTCCTCTTTACTCCTTTTCTTTTGAGGTACTCCTGGACCCTTGCTCTAGTCTGGGGATGTGTGGCATTTCCGCCAAATCCTGCAGGTTTTCAGATCCTTTCCCAAGCTTCTTCTTAGCTCAGGAACCTCTTTTCAATTAAGGTGGAGTTCCTAACTCCAAAAACAACTCACTTGTGGCGTCATTGCACAAAGTTTCTTGCCTTCTCCTCCCAGGACAAACCCAACTCCTCTGAAGCCACTTCAGCTCTTCCCTCCAGTCCCCAAACCCTCCTGACTTTGAGAGAGGTCCCTTCTCATCCCTTCTAGTCGTCCCACGGAAAGACCTGGTCAGCTTTTCCGGACAGCGGCTGCTTCAAGCTTGCAATTCCATCCAGTTATTCTGCACATTCTTATAAGGGGATCTGTCCAGTGTTCTTCGATAAACCCAGCTGAGGCAGGGAACCCCACCTGTCTTCCAGTGAGGGACTTTAGGGGTGTTGAGAAGCCCCTACTCCCCTTGATAACTGCAGAATTTCCTCCCGAGATTTTTGAAATCCTTCCGTCATCCCAGAAAGAACTTTCTTACTTCCTCCTTTAGAGGAGAACTCTAGTTTTCTCTCCTAACCCCTCCAATTCCTTATTCCATTTCTTTTCATACCTTCATTCTTGAAGTGCCCTCATTACATACTCAGTCTTCTTGTTGGTATCCCAGCATAAGTAGGGGGTAAGGATACGCATTCTCTGTATTTTCTGTGCTTGCCCCAAGAAGCCCGCTTGCATTTTCTTCCCATGGGCCCCCAAACTAGCTTTTCTCTGCACTTACCTTTCTCCTGACCTCCCTCTCTCTGAGGCCGCAGCAGCACTGAACTTAAACCAGCATAGAAGTCACAAAGTTCTTTCAGGTCCTTTGTTCAGCGGTAAGAAGCAGCTTGGGTGGGGCAGAGTGCAGCAGGGGTGGAGGGCGAGCGAGTTTCAGGGACTCCAGCGCCTGTGCCAGATGTAGACGTTATTATTCAGAAACGCCGTACTGTCCCTAGCTTTTTGTGTTTGCATCGCAAGTTGACTTTCTGGCAGCGTTTTTTTGCAAAGAATGATTAGTTTACCAAAACAATGCATACTGATTTCTAAATGTGCTAGATCCCGGAAAGTTAGTGAAACTCAAGTCCAGTCTCTGTATACTTTGTCATTGGCTGCTGTTTCCTCTCTTTGTAACCAATGGTTTAGCAGCTTGACTGAATGCCCCGCCTGACAGGCTGGCTGCTTTCTGTTGCCAGTTCTTTGCTGAAAGGAAGTACTCTGTTGTGATTGTAGCCCTAGGGAGACAGAGACATTTTATTTTACTATGTTGCTTTCTCAGTATACGTTTTACTGAATAAAATAGCTAACTATAACTCCGGAGTATGTTGATGCAACTATTCCTGTTTTTATAAATATTTGAGTTACAATATTCCATAGTTCCCCAAATTTTCTAAGACATTGCATAGAGGAATCACAGGACTACAAATATTTTAACATCTTTTCGACTGTTATTTTATCTTAAATTTTTTTATACATTTACAGTATATAAAATGAGGCCCTCCATGTTAAACAAGTTTTTTTTTTTTTTTTTTTTTTTTGCCTTTAGTAACCATTGTCATTGTCGTGGCATAAACAGATACATACACTCTTACTCACGGTATAGGTAACCATTGTCATTGTCAGGATATAAACAGATACACACACATACATATATACATAAAATATTTTCTTACGCAGCAGGCAGAATATTACATAAACTAAACTGTACTTTATTTAATATATCCTGGAGATTAGTCTGCATCTGTGAAGAGTGCCATCTTGTTTTCTCCCAAATTACAATTATACAGAGTGATTGGAAGAGCATTTTAATGAGTAACTCTTGCTTATTTCCTGTGTACATTAATTTGATTTGTCTGTGTATATGTTCTTGTGTATATGAAAAATACATTTACTGAAAATTTGAAAGTAAATTGTTGACACCATGATACTCCTAAATACTGCACATGCATACTGTAATATGAGGGTATTGTACATAACCATAATTCTATGATCATAATTGAGATAATAGTCTATCTTAATATTGTGTCCATATTTAGGTTTACCCAGTTATCACAAAGATAATTTTTATAATTAATTTTTCAAACCAAGATCCAAAGTTTGTATATTAAAATGGACCATTTGATTGTTAGGTCTTATAATTCATTTTGTTATAGAGAATTCTTTATTTCTGTGTTATTTTTGTTTTCTGTCAGTGGATTTTGGTAAGTTCACACATTCATGTCATCATTACCCAGATCGATATTTAGAAATGTCTATCACTATGAAGTTCCTTCATGCCCCTCATTGGAAAAGAACTGCCATTCTGATTTGTCTCTCTTGATTGGTTTGCCAGCACTGGAACTTCATAATGGAGACTTACAGTGTGTAATATTTTATGTCATGTGTTGTGCTGATCATGACTTTGAGATTCAAAAATGTTGTATGTTTCAGTGGGTTGTTCCTCCAAATTATAGAGTAATATTCTCTTGTATATGCATCTGACAATGTTCCTTTTTAAAAATCATCAAATTAAAATATATATATTTGCAGTGTACAAAGTAGTCGTATTTTCTTTTTGTGCTGACCTGACAGAAGCTATTAAGAAAGTAGAGAGGTGTATTAATTACTTTTGTGTTGCTGTGATAAAATACCATGCTCAAAAACAACTTAAGGAGTCTATTTTAGGTTATGAATTGAGAGGGATGGAATCTATCCTGGTGGAAGGCATGACCACAGTCAGGGATAGCATGGTGGTAGGAGCGAGAAGCTAGATGATCTGCAAATATGAAGCAGAGAGAGAAGAGGAAATGGGATGAGCCCATATACCCTTGATATCTGTCCCAACAATCTTCCACCAAACATTACCACCAACTGGAGACCAAGTGTTCAAATGCATGAGGTAATAAGGGATGTTTTTCTTTCAAACCAACACAGAGGTCTATTCTGGCTCATGCTATCAGGGGATATCAGTCTACCATGGTGGGTTAGGCATGGGAGTAGGGGTGGCTTTGCCCATGGCACAGGAACTTTCCCTGAGGGCAGTTCACATCTTGGCAGATCAATAAGCAGACAGAGGACTAGAAGCAGGGCCAGATTATAACAACATCACCAAATGGAGACCAGATGTTCAGAAACAAGAGCTGGTGGGGACACATTACTTATTTAAGCTGTAACAGTGATATTTTGATTTTTGTATACATTATGAAGTGATTAGATCAAGTAGTTTTAACACATCTATCACCTCACAGAATTTTGTATTTAGGGCATTTAAGATTTATTGTTTTAGGAAGTTGCAAGTTTATATTACATTTTTTATTAACTATAATCACAGTGCCATGCACTGTATCCCTAGAACTTACTCATCCTGTCTGAAACTTTGTTCCTTTTAACCATCATCTCTATATCCCTCCCATCACTCCCAAGTTCCTGGTAGACAGCATTCTGTTTTATGCTTCTGTGAGTTTGACCTTTAAAAAGTTATTATTTACAATTGAGATCACAGTGTTTGTCTTTCTGCGTCTGGTTTACAACAGTTAGTAAAATTCCCTCCAGGTTCATGCACAAATTACAAATGTTAGGATTTCGTTTTAACCATATCTCAAGTGTTTAGGTCATTTTATAAGCAATGTTTATTCAATGATGGGCTCTTAGGTTGATGATTCCCTTTCTTGTTGAATGGGAATAATGCTGCGATGAACACAGATGTGCTGATGCCCCTTTGGATATATATCTGGAAGTGGAGTTGCAAGGTAGTTATACTTTTAGCTAGCTGAGGATTCTTCATGCTGTTTTTATAATGGCAACAAAATTTACATTCCCACCATCAATGTTCGAGGGCTCCCATTTATCCACATTCTTATCTACAGAAAAAATATTTTTCTATTCTGACTAATGTGAAGTGATATTTTATTGTTTGATTTGCATTCCCATGATAATTAGACTTGGATGCACCTTTCCAAGTATGTGTTGGCCTTTTATATGTCTACTTTTGAAAGCTGTCAAGTCCTTTGCCCCATTTTAAAATTAGGATTTTTTTCTCTTCTTGCTGTTGAATTCTTTTAATCCTTATATATGTTTATACTAACCCTTTATTAAATATTTGGTTTAATATGGTTTACACATATTTTTTTCATTCTATTACCTGTTTTTTTACTGTTAATTGCTTCCTTTGATATGCAGAAGCTTTCTGAGTTGATGCTGTCTCTGTTCTCTTATTGATGGTTATTTATTGTATCCTGCTTGTGATTGGCATGGGTAATGCTATGAAGAGTCATTCTTATCAGAGTCTTTCTTAGATGTTACCTTCTGAAGAGACAAGGCTCAGGTAGAGAACATCCCATGATGTATTATTGCCCATTTTTTTCTCTTGTGGTGAAATTTAATATTTTCTCAATAATAAGTATTTCTATATGCTAGAAATCTCTACTTGTGGGTTGGAAATGTGGCACCCCACTCTCCTGTCTTCCTCTCATGTCTACTGTTTGCTGCAGTCTGGTATTAGGAATGACTTCGGAGGTGTGACATGGAATGCTGTGGTTAAGACAAGAACAAAACACAGCAGGCAGGAAAGGTTGGGCTGTATCACACAGCATTTTGTGTTGTCCAACAGAGCCATATGACTTTCGAGAAAATACGTTGCTGGGGAGAAAAGTGTGACTTTCTCAAAGAATCTTTCAAGAATGACATGATGCGCCAAGTCACACATTTTAAAAGAGCATCTAAAGAGTGATACATCCAAAGGTTTTTACACTTAGATTGGGCACTTATCTTT